TTTTTTTTTTTTTTTTTTGCTCATGGACTTTGCCTTCCTTTCTCAAATTTTTATACTTATTTGTGATTTTTTTAAGTCTCAGAATACTGTGCATTATTAAATGACATAGCTTTTTATTTGACTCACTAAAAATAATGTCACAAAAGGCGTATATGAAAAAATCTGATGAGGAATAGTTACCTTATTTGGGAAATTACTTGGATTTTATTAACAAAAATTTAATAGCTTGTTTTCTTTTACAACGTGCAAACAATAATTACTTGTAAAAATTTACTTCTCCCTTTTAGACTTTCGAAGATTTTAAAAATGACAAGCAAGCTGTGGAGTATCAACAGCGGATTGTGGATATTTTGTTGAAAGTGAGTAGATGGTTGAGTTGTTTTATAGCAGGTTATCAAATAATCTTGTTAAGTGGCATGTTGGAATCATATCTTAAAAGTTTATTATGGTGTTTTTGTCCTCAAGAGCTGAATTAAGTACTAATCGTTTATTGTTAAAAATGCTTAGTGTATGTTGGCTTTAGACTGGGTGCCAGAATAGAGAGCACTGTGTGAGAAAGGCATGTGGTGATGTTTGCTGTTGAGTGTGATTGCGTGTCGTAACGGAGACTAACCCACCGTGCTTTGAGAAAAGAGTTCATGCGAAGGATCTTCCTGTGTCTCATGCCCGCTTCACTTTGTTGCTAAGGTAGTGCCATATTCTATCATGGCACTGAGATGCCAGGTGACACCTCAGAATGATTTGAGGCACCCAGAAATGATCGTCCCCTTGCACATCTAATTAGATTCAGCAGAAAGCTATTTTGAGATGTATGCTGCTGCCACTGAACGAACGCAGGGAAAGGGTCTTTTCTTTTCCATCCGCGTGACTTCAGGCAGGCCAGTTCCTCTTGGAGTTGAAAGCTTAGAGATTTTCATTTTGTTAATTTGGCTGTAAAACGGAGGCTTCTGTCTTTTAATCTTAAATTATTTTGGACAAGAGACTAGAATTAAAGTGTTTTCTGGTTGTGCACAACATCAATATCTTACATTTATAATAGTTCTTTATAATTTCCCAAGCATGTTTATATACATTATTTCTTTTGAGCTATCAATTAATATTAATTCACCTTGTAAGACAGGCAGTGATGATTATGAGAATAGGGCTGTTAACCTGTCAGATAATGTCAGTTTGATTCAGGTGGCTAGTATGGAGAATTTTCACCTAGATTTCCAAAATACCTTTCTAAATGGTCTCCTTATTCTCAGTCTTGTCCTCCTCTAATTTGTGGTCTTGCCTCTCTTCTACCTAATATTCTTCTGTGGCTTCCTGTTGGTCATTTGGAATTAAGTTCTGCTTTGAGAGAAAACTCAATAGTTTCATTGTGATGGGAATTAATTTTTCTCATAGAAGTCTGAAAGTAGGCAATCTGGTCTAGTAGAGTGACTTCGTAAACTTATCAGGGATGTAGATTCCTTCTGTCTTAGCATTATACTTAGTACATGATTTCTGTCTTTCCATCCAAAATGGCTGCTCAGGCTCCTGCCATTACCTCTGCATTCCAGCCAGCCTGAATGTAGAAAGAGAGGAGGAAAATGTTCCCTTTCCTTAAGGACACTTCTTAAAAGCTGTGTAATACAATTCTTATTGTATATACCATATTGCTTATACCATATTGCCAAGAACTTAGATATAAGGCCCCTTAGTTGGTGGGGGAGACTGAGAAACAGAGTCTGTATTCTTGGTAACCATGTGCTTACTAAGCATGAGGAGTTTGTTTTCTTTCTTCCTTTCTCCTTCCTTCCTCCCTCCCTCCCTCCCTCCCTCCATCCCTCTTTCCTTTACATCCATCCATCCATCCATCCATCCGTCTTGCTCTGTTGCCCAGGCTAGAGTACAGTGGCACGATCTCAGCTCGCTGCAGCCTCCACCTCTGTGTTCAGGTGATTCTCCTGCCTCAGCCTCCGGAATAACTGGGATTATAGGCACCTGCCACCACACCTGGCTAATTTTTGTGTTTTTAGTAGAGACAGGGTTTCACTATGTTGGCCAGGCTGGTCTCGAACTCCCGACCTCAGGTTACCTGCCCACCTCAGCCTCACAAAGTGCTGGATTATAGGTGTGAGCCACCACGCCCAGCCTTGAGGAGTTCTGTTTCTAAGTTAGGAGGGAAGACTAGATGTTGGAGCATAAGTCATAATTTCTGCCATACCCATTTACACTGTGGAACATCCCTGATCCCTCTGTATTTTCTGGTCCTGACTGGGTCTCTTTAACTGCTCCCCTCTCTCATCCGCCTCATCATCCCACCCCACACACCTTGTATTAGGTACCCTCAACCTTATTAAATTATTAGAATTCACTAGACTCTCTGTGGCGTGTTCATGGTTTATGTCCTTTCCAAGGGTTTTCTTTCAGTCTGTCATGCCTTTTCCTTTCTTTTTGCTCACTGGCAAGTTCCTAATCATTTTTCAAGACTTAACTGAAACGTCATCTGTGAGAAACTCATTTGAACGCTCTCCCACCGTCTAGGTTGATTGGTTGCTGCTTGTCTGCGCTCAGGCCACGCGTTCCGTTGTTAGCACGCTGTGTTGTCATGTTTACATGTTTTCTTATCTATCCTATCTGAGACGTGAGCTTCCTGAGGGTAGAGAGTGTGAGGATTCTTCTAATTATTATTTTTATTCCCACTATTTTGGTCATTGTTTTCTCATGCCTAGAACAGATCCAGCTCAGTGCCTGTAACCCGGTAGATGTCAGGTCAGTGGAAGTTGGTTAAATCGCAATTTCAATTGAAAACTATGCTAAGTTGGAAGAATGATCCAAATGAAGAGAAAGCTCCATAAGTCCTCGACTCTTCCTGTGGTGACTTGCCATTCTTGTCTGTTGTCTTGATAGTGTTTACCTTGGGTCAGTGAAGAATGAGCTTTTGGGATTATTTGTGTCATTTCTAATGCAAGAGATGTGCTCACTGGTTAAAGTGCGCTTGCGAGGGAGCCAGGGAGAGGAGGGGTATAGGCAGTGACCAGAGAACAGGCCAGTGGGCGTTACCAGTGTGCCGAGTGGCTGCGGACAGAAAGGGAAACATCTGAAAGGGAAACATCTGTTCATCTGTGACTTTCTACAAGATTGCCCAGAAAATTTGTAAGCATGGTCTCGGAAACAGGCTAAAGAGAAGTAGAAAGGAAAGGGCCTTTTGTAGGATCATAACCAGTTACACACTTGCTGAGGTGCTGAGGGAATTCTCCTGTGTGTATAAGCATGTGTATATATGAGATAAAGCTTTTATAACTTGAAATACCTGCATATTCTTATAATGAGTATATACTTGACACGTGATGATTACTGGACTAAAAGCAGAAAGGGCAAAATAAAGGGTTGTAAGAAGAGAAAGGTCAGAAGCTAGGGAATGTTGTCTAAAGGGAGAAACCTGATACTTTATCTTTGAATGGAGGATGAAAGGAGGGGACTTGAAACTTTTTAGCAATGTGTCAGGGCACTATACCCTGATTTGTTGTAGATAGAGTTGCCCCAGGAATTCAGCTCACCCGAAGCAGTGCGTGGTCTCCCCTCCCACACCTCTGCGTTCTCCCACCTGCCAATCAGGCTCAAAACCTGTCCTTTTAATTGCTCCTATAGCCACATGTTTCCACACGTAGGAATACTTGTCCTGTCCCCCCTCTCTCTGCTCTCCATTTTCATGATCACTGCCGGAGCGCAGAGCCTTTGGGCTCTCCCTTAGACCTCTGCAGCCACTTGCATCTTGCCCTCCATGCCTTCTGTTTCTTTCTTCTGTTAACTTCGTCCCACGCACTGCTGACAGGATAATGTTCCTAAGCACAGTACTGGTCATGATCAGCTCCCCTGGTGCAACACGTTTACTAGCTCCCCAGTTTCTGTATAGTACACGCCGGACTCCTCAGGATGACATTTGAGACCCGAGCATCCCATTTAATCTAATGTTTCCCTCTTCCTGCATGCTGCTGCATTCTGATGAATCTTGTGGCTCCCCTAGCAAACATGTTTTTCTGTGTCCACGGTTTTGCCCTCACTCTCCTCTTCTCTGTGACATTTCCCTTTGTCACAATTTCTGCATGGGCTCCAAAACTTAGCCTAAAAGCTGTTTTTCTCATTTCTTTTCAAATTCCCTCTCTAACCAGTTGAATTAACATTTTCCACTGTGCTTCTTTAATCATTCATGCCTTTATAATAGCAGTCAGTATGTTATGCCTTTTATTTAAGATGTGTCTGTCTTTTCCTTCTTGTTCCTAATTAAAGACACTTAAGGCATCTTACACATAGTGAGTACTTAGGAAATGAGAGCTGAGTTAAAGCCAGAGGAATGACTATGATTTGGTAACTGTGTGTGATTATAAAAAGCCTGTTGGGCTGGGGGGTGGCTCACACCTATAATCCCAGCACTTTGGGAGGCCGAGGCAGGCAGATCATGAGGTCAAGAGATCGAGACCATCCTGGCCAACATGGTGAAACCCCGTCTCTAAAAAAAAAAAGCCTGTAATACAGTTCAAGGAACTGCTTGATACAGGGTGGAAGCCATTCCGTTCAGTGATCCGTGTGTCTGTGTGACAGCTGACTGCCGGGGGACACCCTCATTCTCAGTTATCTCACACCCAAACCTCAAAGCAGCGCGCTTCTCCCCTTGCTGATCGGCAGATTTTTAGTAGGACTATTTAAATTTAATTGTACAATGCCAGCCTGGCCAATGTGGTGAAACTCCATCTCTACTAAAAATACAAAAATTACCTAGGCATGGTGGCACATGCCCGTAGTTCCATCTACTCGGGAAGCTGACATGGGAGGATCACTTGAACTCAAGAGGCAGCGGTTGCAGTGAGCCAAAATTGCGCCATTGCACTCCAGCTTGGGCAACAGAGCAAGACTCTGTCTCAAAAAAAATAATAATTGTAGAATGATTCTTGAAGAACTCCTGAGGGAAACATGATTAATATTTCTTTGAAATATTACAGTTTACATGTCTACCTCCTTGTCAATTCAGTTCTCATCCAGATTGTGCTAGAAATATGCCAAAAATCACTGAAATATTTTCAGAGTATGCAAATAGTTGTGCTTCTTCTAAATGGCGTTAAATTCAATTTTTGCACAGTCAATAAAAGAATCTTTTTACAAGTCTTCACTAATGAGGCTGTCCCCTCTTCTAATTGTATGCTTTTGCGTCAAACCAGATGGTGTATTGAATAAATGGTCTCCTTTGCTCCTCAGGTTATGGTGGAGAATTCAGACTTCACCCCCTCACAAGTAGGGTGTCTCTTTACCTTTCTTGCTCGGCAGCTTGCAAAGCCTGACAACACCTTGTTTGTAAACAGAACACTTTTTGATCAGGTAAGTGTCTAGCAGTGAAAACTAAAAGCTTTTTATCTGTTTATTGTGCACAGTTCCCTGGATTACACTGTTTCTTGATGTGACAGACTGTTGGGTAAATGTCTTATCAAGGAGAGGCCTGTTGAGGTTTTGGATCTAAATTAGGGGTGTGTGTATATATGGGTGTATGGGTGTATTTGTGGAGATTGGTTTATAGAGATTGTGTTCTTTGAATTATTCTGTTGTTCTGAATTGCCTGGAATTCTTTGCTCAAGAGTTTTCCAATTTAAGAATCTCCCCCATCTCTCTGGTATTAAGACTATGAGGACCATCATGTGGAGAAGCGATTACTTTTATAAAATCTCAATTTACCTACAAATGACTTTGCAGGCGTCTTATAAGCCCACTTAAATAGCTCCTATGTTTCCACAGGTGGCAAAGAAAATACTTTTTGTCTGGAGAAAGTATCTAAAGATGACTAGGATTTTCTGAGCACTTCAAAATGGCAGGCATTGTTCCAAAGCTTTATGTGTGTGTGTTGCCTTAGTCCTCTCAACAGCTCGAAAACGGGCAGTTATCCTCCTTTTATAGATGAGGAGGCGAAAGCCTGGAGAGATTGGGTCATTCGTCTAAGGTCATACTTAGTAAGTGTTGTTATTAGCAGCAAATATTAAGTCTTAATAGGGCTAGTGTCCAAATTCAGGTGGCCTGACTCTTAAGTCCGTGCTTTGCTAGGTCCGTGGTATCTTATCAGGAAACTTAAAGTTAAGGGGTGCGTGTGTGTGTGTGTGTGTGTGTGTGTGTGTGTGTGTGTGTGTGGAGAGAGAGAGAGACAACACTGCCTTATATCTGTGTTTCTTATAGCTATGTTTCTTTTCTCTCTCTCTTTTTTTTTTTTGAGATAGAATCTGGCTCTGTCACCCAGGCTGGAGTGCAGTGGTGCAATCTCAGCTCACGACAACCTCTGCCTCCTGGGTTCAAGTGCTTCTTCTGCCTCAGCCTCCAGAGTAGCTGAGATTATAGGTGCATGCCACCACACCCAGCTAATTTCTTGTATTTTTAGTAGAGACGTGGTTTCACCATGTTGGCCAGGCTGGTCTTAAACTCCTGACCTCAAGTGATCCACCCTCCTCGGCCTCCAGAAGTGCTGGGATTGCAGGTGTGAACCAGTGCGCCCAGCCTCTTACAGCTATGTTTCTAAAGAGTAAAGGAATATGTGTGTAAGGCACATATTAAATTGTTGGCATGTCTGAGCCTAATGTTACATGTACTAGGCTAATCAGCTGGGAAGGTACTCTGCACCTGTGGGATTTGTTACAGTTGAGTGTGAATGGGCTGGTTATTTGAAAGGGTGGGTACTATTTTTATTATGAGAGTACTAATGTCTGCATGCTTTACTTTTTCTTTGGCCAGGTCCTTGAATTCCTCTGTAGTCCTGATGATGACTCCCGACACTCTGAAAGACAGCAGGTATGAACCACTAGAACTCTTTGCTGCTAAATAGGAAACGAGTAAACCAGAAGGAACTCTTCTGTGCTAGACCACACTACACATAAGGGGCAGTGACTTGTGCCAAACCCTAATATGAAGGTAAAGTCAGTGGGGACCAGAAAATAGAGTGGTTGGTTGTTAGAGGTACATGTATAAGGAGCTTATATCAAACTAAATTCCTAGGTAGGCCAGATCTGTCTTGCACCTACCATGACATCAGAGAAACGACTTCATCTTTCCTTATTACACAGCAACAGTTAGGACTTCCTGTACCCTGCATTCCATTGGCTGCTGTGGTCCTGACACAAAAAAGCTGCAGGCTCCTGAGTATTGACATGCCTAAGTCTTGAGAGTACCCCAAAACCCCACCTCATTAGGGCTGAGCATTCTGGACACCAGCATCCATCTGTCCCTCCACTCATTATTGTGGGATGGTAACTGTTTGAGTCCCACTTCTCTCTATTTGTGGCACTGTCTTGAGGTTCCCTTTAGGGGTAGGATTCTTTAAAAAGCATACCCACCATAATTGTGGGCACTAAGAGAGTCAACCCATTTTGAATTGATAGCCAGATTTTGTCAGGTAAGTAAACTAGTAAAAGTAAGTACTTTGGGAGCCGTGCTGAAGGACGGGTCTACGGCACTGTGGCGATTGTACCCAGCTGGGAAGTTGAGGCTATCAGATAGCAACAGGGACCCTTTGTCTGCACAGCTGTGGCCCGGTGACCGCTGCAGAGCAGCCTAGGAAGAAGAACAGCTAGTAAAGTTTTGGTTATCTCTTAAATTACATTGAATACAAATAGTAATGTGGGGCCCCCTCATTTCAGCTGCTTAGTGTGGTAAAAATTAATTATATGAGCCACAATATTTGTGTTTGCTTTTTATTGTGGCCAAATAGACGTAGCACATAATTTACCATCTTAATCATTTTTAAGTGTAAACACCAGCGCTCCTCACCTTGTTGTACAGTCACCCTCCCCACATCCCGAGCTCTCTTACCTTCCCAAACGGAACTGCCCTCCCAGTTAAATCCTAACTCCCACTCCCTATTTTCTCCTCCCCAGCCCTTAGTAACTGCCAGTCTCTCTGAATGTTACAACTTTAGGTACCTCACCTAAGTGCACTCATACAATATTTGTTCTTTTGTGTTTAGCTTATTTCACTTAGCATGATGTGTTCAAAGTTCATCCATGCCACAGCGTGCATGTGTCAGATTTTCTTCCGACTGAAGAGTACTCCGTGGTCTGCACATACCTCATTTTCTGTAGTCATTCATCCACTGATGGACATGTGGATTGTCTCCACCCTTTGGCTATTTTGCATAGTGCTGCTCTGAAAAGCCCCAATATTTAATTTTTTTAAATTAACGTATAAACATGGATACCACCTGTGGATAAACAGGTTGTAAAGAACCATAAGACATAAAAGTGAGACAAAAGTTCACTTTTTGAAAAGAAACATACAGACATTTAAGCTTAGCAGAGAATCAGTTCAGTGTCTAATAGGGCTTTATTCGCAAACACTGTGGCGCTCTCTCCATGTTTGAAAAGCAAAGCCATTTATCTTTTTATAGGACTTAAATGCAGTACGATCATGTTTATAATGTCACTCTAACCCCTTCCATATGTGACAGCAAGCCAAAATATCATCAACTAAAAAGAAAAAAATAGAAGTTATAGTCTGCATGGCTGAATGTACTCTTAAAGAGCTAGTAAATTCTCAAGTGTTTTTACTCATTGGTTTTAAACGTTCAGGTCCTTTTAGAATTGCTGCAGGCCGGAGGCATAGTTCAATTTGAAGAGAGTCGACTCATCCGTATGGCAGAAAAAGCTGAGTTGTAAGTTGTTTTGAAACTGTATATTAGTTTCCCATAGAAATATTAAATTACATTTCTCTGACTTAAAGCCCAGTTTACTGATGCATTGCCGCTTTTTTAATTAGGAAAGATTATACAAATAACAACAAGCTAAGTGTGAAAATTTTTGCCTTTTAATTGAATTCTGGAAATTAGTAAAATTTGCAGAAATTGATAGGGCATATTTGAAGTGTTTGTACAATTGTTTAAACGTAAAAGTAGAATAGCAGTCTTATGGTGTTTTATTATTTTAGTTTTTTAAAAAATATTTCCATGTTTCATACGTTTTTTATAGTTATCTTAGATTTATTAGAGACCATGCAATATTTGGCATAGCAAATTAGATATAATATCACACTGCTACTTACCTAGTATGTTGTAGGTTTTATTCAACAGGTAATTCTGAACAGAGGAAATTTTTTGTAAAATTTTTGTAAATTATCAATATCTAACATGTTGACTATTATGTGATACATTATTGCTTTAGCATTTCTTTTGTATTCAGCATTGAAATTTCTTATAAACATTGTATTTAGCAGACTCTTAAACCTAAAGTTAAAGAAAAGCAGATACTCATCTCTCTTAGACATTTAATATAACTTTATCTAACAGTAGAAGTCACATCTACTATATTAATTTTTCTTTTTTTTTGAGACAAGGTCTCCCTCTGTTGACCAGGCTGGAATGCAGTGGTACCGTCATGGCTCACTGCAGCCTTACCTCTAGGGCTCAAACAATCCTCCCGCCTCAGCTTCCGTCGTAGCTGGGATGACAGGCACATGCTACCATGCCTGGCTAACTTTTTGGTTTTTTTTGTAGAGATGGGGTCTTGCTATGTTGTCCAGTCTGGTCTGAAACTCCTGGTCTCAAGCAATTCTCTTGCCTCAGCCTCCCAAAGTGCTCGGATTATAGGCATGAGCTGGGACACCTGGCCCACTTTTTCTAATACTAACCTGTGTGCCTGAGCAAGTGTCTCAAAATAATAAGCTAATAACCACCTGCCTGTTTGGTACACTGAAGTTTTCCCCTTTACGTTCTAGCTATCAGATTTGTGAATTTATGTATGAGCGAGAACACCAATATGACAAAATAATTGATTGCTACCTACATGACCCTCTGAGAGAGGTGAGTCAAGACACTGCTTACTCTTTTTCTTATTCAGCTTTCCACTTATTGAGTACTAATAACTGTTCAGTAGCAATATTTGTGCATGTGTATGAGTCAAATATACACTGATAATTAAAACAGATGGAGTTCTTGCAGTTTTGGAATGTGTAATTTAGTGATGGAAACTGGCAGTAAATAAAACCAAATCTGATTACAAATTGCGGTAAATGCTAGGGAAGAGAAACTGAGTGCAACTTTAAAGGATAATGGGGAACTGACTTATGCAGAGTAGCCGGGGAAGGGATCTCAGGGAAAGTGACATAAAAACTGAGTTTTGAAATTTGAGAAGCCAGTGAAGGAAAGAACCAAGAAGAGTGTTCCAGGATGGGGAACTCTATATGTGAAGGAGGGAGGTGGGGAAGACTGACATGTTCAAGGGGCTGCGTGGGGATCTGACAGGTAAAGTGAGAATCAGTTCAGCTGCGTGGAGATCTTACAGGTAAAGTGAGAGTCAGTTCAGGTGGAGCGTAATAGACAAGGGCGGGAGTGATTTGAACTGAAATTGGGAATGTGGACAGAGATCCCCAGAAGCCAAAGTGTGATACTCCCTCACTGAAGATTAATACATTGAAACCAAAATTAATTGGAACAGATTTGTTGCTTCTAAGAGTCTATCCTAAATTTTAAACAATTACTCTTTCTTTTTGGGGGCAGAGTTTTCCATCAGTTAGCTGTCTCCAAATGATTTTTCATCTTCAAATAATAGCTGTTTACCAAGACTGGTTCAGCTGGTAGTGAGTAAATCTTGAGCGAGTGGGTGAGTACATTATATTTTCTTGTGCTCTTCAGGAAGAAGTCTTCAATTACATTCACAATATCTTATCCATTCCTGGACACAGTGCCGAGGAGAAGCAGTCTGTGTGGCAGAAAGCAATGGATCTTATTGAGGTACCGATTTGCCATACTTTTCACACTTCACTATCTGAATGGCCATTTAACCCAAGTTAACTTTATGCCAGCTAAGCAATGGCGTCCATCATATTAAGATGATTTAATGTAGGGTTGAAGTCTTTTTCATGTAATTTTTCTACTTCATATTTGTTTTCCTAAAGTCTGTGTCACATGCAATCTATTACATCATGACTTCTGAAACTAGCCCATGTTCAATTGGCTAGTGACAAACTATTATTAGTGGGTTTTTACAAAATTCTTAGAATGATTCTGAGAGTACTGCTTGTCTCCTTTTCCTAATATGTGGTAGGTGCCATTCCCTCCAATTATCTAATGGACTTTTAGAAAAATTACTGCAATGAGTTTTTCTCTGATGTATTTCTCTTCCTTGTATAACAGGATGATGATTCTGACCTAGCTATGGTGAACTAATTCACTGATTTTGTTGATGCATGCTATTTTACAGAGAATGCAAGTGTTCACTTCTGTTAAAACAAAAGTTCTTATTAAGGAACAATGCTTCTAGATGTACAAATAGACTGCTTGTCGGGGGAGGGCTGTGATCAGAATGTGTTCTGAAATGGGACCCAAAAATCACTTCTTCCTTCAGTTTCCTTATGTTCGTAACAACTCCTCACCCCAGAATCCAACAGAACCAGCAGTTTGGTTGAAATCTATTCTTTTTATGTTTTTTTTTTCTTTCTTTTTTTGAGACGGAGTTTCACTCTTGTTGCTCAGGCTGGAGTGCAGTGGTGTGATCTCGGCTCACTGCAACCTCCACCTCCCAGGTTCAAGGGATTTTCCTGCCTCAGCCTCTCAAGTGGCTGGGATTACATGGGCCACCACACCCAGCTAATTTTTGTATTTTCAGTAGAGACAGGGTTTCACCATGTTAGTCAGGCTGATCTTGAACTCCTGACCTCAGGTGATCACCCGCCTCAGCCTCCCAAAGTGCTGGGATTACAGGCGTGAGCCACTGCATCCAGCCTCTTTTTATGTTTTATGCTATTTTATCTATTCTATTATGTTTATTTCTGATTATCGGAAAAAAAAATTAGTAAGAAAAGGGGAAATAGCATTTAAACTGAGATAATCCTAATTTTGGAAATAACATATAACTATAGTGTTGCCCTCATTCCTCTCATAGCAAGAGTCAGGTGATGGTTATTCAACATTTTTTTTTTTTTTTTTTTTTTTGAGACGGAGTTTCGCTCATTATCCAGGCTGGAGTGCAATGGCACGATCTCAGCTCACTGCAACCTCCGCCTCCTGGATTCAGGCAATTCTCCTGCCTCAGCCTCCTGAGTATCTGGGACTACAGGCATGCGCCACCATGCCTAGCTAATTTTTGTATTTTTAGTAGAGACGGGGTTTCACCATGTTGACCAGGATGGTCTCGATCTCCTGACCTTGTGATCCACCCACCTCGGCCTCCCAAAGTGCTGGGATGAGCCACCACGCCCAGCCGACCATTTTTTATAGATAAGCAAAATTATAAGAAAGGATGTGATGTGGATACTTTTAGTTCCTGAAGGTTGTAAAGTTTAGAAAGTTCAGAGGTGTGAATAGCATCTTCTTGTGAAATATCTGACATGAAAGGTGGTATAGCCAGTCATGAGATATGTGGCCTGAAGTAATTTCCACACTGCTGTATGTAGGATTGAGAACATGGAATACATTATTTAATGCTGTTATATCCCTGCTAACAACAAGATGAATACATCTTGGCAAAATAACAAGTCATCCTCTGATTTTGTGTTTCATATTTTTTCCCTTTAATCGTTTAGAATTCTTTTTCATCCTCCTCTTTGAGTCTCCATGGTTATATTGTGGTTCAGTTTTCATTTCCCCTCATCTGTGCTATACAGTGGTTTGAGCACATGGATTCCAGACATGAAAAATGGAGCCACATCTCTGCATCATGTGAAATATGATAAATCAATCAATTAGCAGACAGATTACCCAGCAAAAAAACTCATGCTGGGGAAGCCAGAAGTATTTTTGCTACACAATAATTATTTTTGCTGACTGCTTTTTTCTCAACATCTGCATATTTTTTCACCTTGAACTTTTTACTACCTCTTAAGGCCACAGTGACAGGTATATAAACTTTTGTTGAAGAACGTCCGTGTCTTCAATAATGTAAATATAATCAACATTAAATACATAGGACAAAAAGTCATAATGAAGTTTTCTGACAGGATACGCTTAGTTTATAGCCTAATGGTTCTTCACACATTTGGGGCTCTACACTTTTTTTTGAAAACCTAATGAAAGATTTAGACTTATGCCTCATAATATTGCACATATACGTGAATACATGATTCTGTTTACAGTTTCAGGGATCTATAGTTCCCTAAAAGCCTTTCTTAGAGGAAGAATCTCTGGTTCAAATGGTTTTTTCAATATGAAAGGTTTCATTAGAGTGTGTTGACATTTTATATTTTGAAATTTATAAAGCATTCAAAAAAGGACATAAAACAAGTGTACTGCTTAATAAAAAAAATTAAAAGGCAAACATCCTAGGTCCTGAACAAGATATATTTTATTTCCATACCTCAGACTTTTCCCACGTCTTCTTTTCTAATCACAGTCTTTCTTCCCCTCTTTCACATATAGCCATTTTCCTGGTTTTTGTGACAATTTCTTGCCTTTTTGTATACTGTTACTGCATACACATGCACCCCTAAATATATGTTTTTGTTTTGCCTATTTTCAAACTTTATGAAAATGAAATCACTTTATTTTCTTTTTTTATCTTTATTTTTATTTATTTTTTTTCTTTTGCCTTTCACTGAGTTATCTTTTTTTTTTTTTAATT